ACAACATGTAAAAGTGAAATTAGCATCCTATGACCCCTTTAAGTGATACACAATATACAGATCTTTAATCCATTTCTAAAACAACATTAGGAGTTACAGTAACATCATTTTGTAATATGTATAGTTAAAGGGACAGTTCACCCAAAAATGAAAATTCCGGCATCATGTTGTTCCAAACCTGTATTACTATTTGTTGCATAAAAATGAAATGAGGGAAAGTAAATTATTACAGAGTTTTCATTTTTGGATGAACCATCCTATTAATAGTATTTATACTGTATACGGGTGACGTTCACTAGTTTGACTCTGCTGCCACTGTGGCTCCTTCGGTCTTCCGCTTTTCCAGCAGATTCTTCAAAAAGAATTCACCTAAAAAAATGAAACCGTATGTTAAAACAAATAATGTTACAGTATGTGTAACTGTAAGCGCTTCATGAAAAATGGAGTCAAGGTTTGGCTGCCCTGAGAGTCGAAACTACACCTCTTGTTGTAAAAGCTTTTACAAATTCTAAAGTAGATGATGGAATGGATTTTTTTTGCAAGCAACATACAGCAAATGATTCATTTTATTGATGTAGCTGTTGTTGCCCCATGAGAAAAGATTGGAGATTTAAAGTCACAGCTTTGGGGCATCTTGCACCAGCCAAGCAACTGTCATTGAAAAAAAAAAATGGGAATGCTAACAGATGCCATTATCTGAGTATTAGCTAAATTTCTATGAATTAAAACATGTTGTCAGGTTACCTGCTTTATAAGAGGAGCGCACAAGTGGCCCACTGGCTGTGTAGACAAAGCCCATCTCCTGGCCAACCTTCTCCCAGTAAGTAAACTTCTCAGGAGTAACATACTCTTCCACCTTCAACCAGACACACACTGTCAGACTGATGCATTCAAGAAGAGATAATGCCATTCTGAAAGCGTGACAAGTGTGTGATGTAACAGAATGAAACTGAAATAATGTATGAAATGGGAAATGTTGCCTGTTGCTTTTGAATTATTATTTCTGGAAGACTTCTCACTTCGGTAAAATTGGGTTCTTCTTAGATCTACACAACATGTCCAATCAGAGTTTGTTTTGTTTCTATGCAACGTTATCTAAAATAGATCACTTAAAGAAACTGTATGTTTAGTTTTTTTTTTTTTTACCTTGAAATATCATATTCATCCAAAAGTGAAAAGGGCAGTTTGCTTTATGGCACGGCAAATGGACTTTTATAGCTATTCACTTATACTATATTTACCATACCATAGAGACTTCACTTAACTATAGGGGACTCCAAAAATACACAAAACTACATAGAGTTGCTTTAAGGTACAGTTACATTGCCATTGTTTGGCAATTTTTTAAAGGGTGAAATCCACACGATTGGGAATTTCGCATTAGGGTGAAAGATTTCACATGCAGATTTCACAACGGGTTCAAGCTGGTCACAAAGCCATTGACTCTGTGAGCTGTGCTGCATACATTGCTGAACTATTGACAATGGATCAATTTTGCACTTGAAATTCAACCGAATGTGACCACACCTTCACTACCGAACGCTGCGTAAAGCTAGCCAATCAGCTTGTGGCTGGTGATGTCAGTCAGCACTTGCCATTTTTGTGTGCAGAGTGTATCAGATGATTAGTGAACAGACTGGGAGTGTGCCATCCAGGACAGAGTTTGGTTGTTTTATTATTCTCGTACCTTGAGATGGCGTTTGGTTGGCTGCATGTACTGCCCCAGTGTTAGACAGTCCACTCCAGAGTCCCTCAATTCTGCAAGAACACAGAGAACTCTCATATGTTAATATATGCATATTTATCGACCTCCCGTGATACGTAACGCATCTCTAATTCTAATATGAATTACCTTTCAGAGCTGCGCGTATCTGCACATCCGTCTCTCCGAGCCCCAGCATGATGGATGTCTTTGTGAGCACACAGGGTTTCACCTTTTTAGCATGTCGTAAAACACTCAGTGATTGGTCGAAGTTTGCACGGGGGTCACGCACATGCCTTAAGGTCAAAGGTCAAAGATGAAAAGTGAGGTCGCAATGAAATCTACAAGCTTTAAATGATGAGAGCTACTAATTCACTTGATAAAATAGACTAGATATTTCTGCCATCTGGTGGTGACTGTACATGCTAGAAACAAAACAGGAAGAAAATAAATAAATACAAATAAAATATGAAAGAAACATAAAAGGAACATAAATAAAATATTTACAATAATATTTATTATTATTTTTTATAATATATAATTATTATTTTTAAAATATTTAAATTTTTACAAGTAAAAACAACCACAAATACACAGTGTATATATTTTTGCGTAAAAATAAAACACGAAAAAATTAAACACCACATTTTGAAAGCTGTCTGTGCTTCTGAACTTTACAAACAGCATTAAAAACATTCTTCAAAAAAAATAAAAAATAAATAAATCCATACTGTTACGGAGAATACTTTTTATGTACAGCACTAACCTCTGTAAATCTCTGACAGTCTCTACATTGTGAGCATAAACATCAAGCCCAGACAAAGCAATTTTCTCCACTGCTGACAGATCACCACGGAAATCAGGAGTCAAACACTCTACCAGGATTTCAGGGTTCCTAAGAGAGAAAAGATCATGTATGAGAGAAATGGATGAAAGAGTTGATTCTAAAAAACAAATAAACTCTTTTTTTCATTTTTGTACCTTCCTTTAAGGTTGGAGACCGTCTTTGCAAAGTGTTCAGCCCCTCCATCAGGAATGTCTGTTCATTCATTATAATAAAAATATGGTCAGAGGTCAAAAATAAAGTGCAACGGTAAATTTTAAAGACACAATGAAACCAAAATGAAAGTTTTGTGCTTCTTAGTCCATGTCTATTCTCTACTATATGTTATCTGTATGCTAGCATACTACTAAAACTTCACATACTAAAAATGATTATAACAGATAAACTCATGGCTATAATGTAACTAAATGGATGAGCCCTTTAATGTCTTAGTTTTACTAGGAAATACATCAATGAGGAAAGCAATGAGCATGGCAAATGTCCAAGGCTTTTCATGGAGTCTTTCATTTTGGTTTGCTGGTGTTTCACGTTTTCTCACCATCTCTGTCCACTGATGTGAGTACTACATAGTCCAGACCCCATGCTGCAATGGCTTTAGCTGTGTTATATGGCTCCTCAGGGTCAAGAGGTGGAGGACGTCTCGCTGTTTTAACTGAACAAAACCTACAGCCACGTGTGCATGTGTCCCCCATCAACTATAGCAAGAGTGTGGGAAATCAAGTAGAGGTGTTTAGTCAAGACCATAACATTGAGATATCGTCCTTGTGTATGTGTGGGCATTTCGCAGACTCAATACACTCACCATAATAGTTGCTGTGGCAGTGGCATACTCTCCTCCCCCCCAACATTCCCCAATATTGGGACACCGGGCCTCCTCGCAGACCTATAACAACAATAACCGTCGATAGACTCGAGATAATTCATGTAACACTGGCTTATAAACATCCTTTTAAAATAACAGAATGTCCAAGCTGCTCGTTTACATACAATAAAAGTGGAAGGTAGTCATCGTTGTTTAGCAAGATTTACATTAAATAGCAAAATTCTGTTTACAACACTAAACACTATATAGCTACATACACTAAGGTTCAAACGTTTGGGGTGTGTAAAATATTTTCTTCATGTTTGCGAAATAAGTCCCTTATGTTCAACAAGGCTGCAATTATTTGTCACATGATCCTTCAGAAATCATAGAGTGTTCATTTGGTCTATTCTAATATGTTGAATTGGTGCAAATCAATGTTGAAAATAGCTGTTTAATTTTTCTTTTGAAAATGGTGATACATATTTTCAGGATACTTTGATGGATAAAAAGCAAAAAAACAACACAATGTATACACTTTTCTAACAACGTATTTACGGTCACTTTGATCAATTAAATGCATCCTTACTGAATGAAAGTATTATATATATATACACAGTGGGGGAAAAAAGTATTTACCGTTTGAGGATGCCCATGCTTGGCCAATCTATCACCTTTACCCTCCTATGTATATACATTCTTGCTGACCCCAAACAGTGGAGTACGTAGTGCTCAAGTCCTATGGACTATTTTTATGATGCTTTATGGCTGATTTTCGGTTTTGGAGCTTGACAGCCCCTGGTCCTCATCCACGTTCATTGTATTAGAGAACTGTGTCCATTGTAACCATTGTGTCAGGAGACTGTGTGAAGCAGTTGATATGTAAGGCATGTTTTCAAACACTCACTGTGTTAAGGTTCAGCTCTCGAAGTGTGTTCTTCAGTTTGTTGTAGTTCTTTCCAATAGGGATCTCTGTTTTCAGCCATGGTGGTAGCCTTAGCCTGGCAAAATAAACACAACTCGTTAAATCATATGTACTGGACTTTATGCATGTATATGTAAAAGTTTAATTATTACAGTAGGTTTTATTATGAGGTATCTATCTCTATATCTGTTTCTCATAGACCCTATAAAGCCTACTGTATCATATTTGATACGGACATTTCTAAATTCTCTCTAAATTAGGGCATAATCAACACTTTGCTGGAAAAACTGTTGCACACAATCTACTACATGCCTTCTGTCATCTGATTGATAGTTTATTCTTTTTAACAAGTAGGCCTTTTAGTACAAATCTATTATTTATTGCAGTGAAATCTTTATTGATTTTAATAAAGTTAGTGTAAGAATAACTTATTGTATTGTTATTTTTAGTAATATTTCAAGATGAACAATTACTGGACTGAGGCTTTAAAAAAAATTTTTTTTAGGAAAATCATGTTAAAAGGTGAGTATAAAACATGATACTTCAGGTTTTGAGAAATGTTTATTAGTCTCAATCATCATTTTACTGCATTGCATTATAAGTCCCCCCACAATCAAAACCTTAGTGCTTTGATCATAAAACAAAGCATTTAAATATCATCTTAGTAAGACATAATCTTGGGAGATATAGTGTGACTTCCAATATTTATATGCATTTTGTGCAAGTAGTCTGCTATGAAAATCTCACCGATTGACATTAATAAAAGTGATCCGAATTTTACCCTTTGACCATATAAATATCAGAAACTGCACCAATTTCCACATTTTTTGTCAGGTTTTTAAAAACTATTTTCACAAATTGTTCTTTACCAAACAAAAATGCTTTCAGTCATTCAGCAATTAAAGCACACGCGCTGAGTCTGTTTCTTAACAAACAATATCTATGTGCGTAAAGGAACAACTGGACAACACTTGATGTAAATCACTGTAAATCATACATTATTTTATTACTTTCGTATTGGTATGGCATTGATGACCATAGTAATATCATGACACTTTGATAAAACCGTGGTACTGAAAGATTTCCACATTCATGTACCAAAAAGAAAGTGGTGTGTCCGTCCATACGTTTACCTTTCTCCCTTCTGTCTCTTCAGGTTGCCTCTGTATTCCTCCCACATGCTCTTTTCTGACAGCTCTCCAGATATGAAGTCCTGCAGGTTCAGGCCATCCTCTTTCATGTCTCTCTTCCTCTCAGTGAGTGTTGAGGATGTGTTGGCAGCAGTGGTCAGTCTGTTACAGTAAACCTGCGACCAGAAGCAAAGGCTCAGGGCACTCCATTTCAATTTAGCATCCAGTTTGGTTAGCTCAGCATATATTCGTACATTATTAATAGCATATAATGTGCGTAGAAAATATTAAGCTCATTTTAATATATTTAATCAGTATTTTATACTGTTATATTGCAGTCACTTCTGTAACGTTACTGGCCTGCACCGGTAACGTTAGTTGACACTAAACTAGTGGACATTATGTTTTTGTACAATCAATCATACAACTAAAACAAAACAAAGAAATCACTCACATTAGACCCCTCAAAGCATTTTGATGGCAAAAACAGAGGATTCGACGAATATCTAACCGCAGCACCACAACTTCTGCTGATTAACGCCATGACTTTAGATCCAGCTTGAGCCTGTCATTGACAACAATCGTTCTGGCATCGATTAACTCACACTGCATGTTTATGACAAAGACTTCATATATATATATATATATATACACCTGACAAACCTGTGGATGTGGTACATTTAGCTCTTAACATATACAGACAAAGCAATATATATATATCAATAAAATCTTATTTAATAATCTTTGTGACAGTTCACTTCATTAACTTTGCTTTTCAGTATCTGTATTCGTTTGGTTGTGCCTTGGAAACTGGCGATGACGCAAGACGTACTGGTTACATTTACGTCATGACGTCTTTCCTCTGTCCTTTCCCCCTTAATCGGCGAGGTGAGAACATGGCGCATCCTGTTCTTGTGCATTTTAATCAACTTCAATCTGCACTAATGTCAAATCCGTCCGGTTTTCTTAGTGCCCCAGGATGTTGTTTACATAATCATGAAAATATCTGTAGTTGTATTAGCGGCGATAATCCGATGCTGCTTATTATCGCAGTCTGTGTTGACGGTGTTTATCTGTTAGCCAAACTTGTAGGCTGTTGCAAGCACAGCTCATTTATTGGGCACATTGATATAATGCCATACGTGTCTCACTATGACATTAGTAATGTTCAGTTAGCCGTAAAACCGACTGAAATGTCAGAATACGTTAACATTGCTGTCAGGATGTAGTTGACAGTTCATTCTGATTGATGACACCGGGTAGGCTATCTGGGTTTTCTCTACTGATAAATGAAGACAAGTCAACAAGATGTATTATAACAAGTATATTTCAGCGTTCTCTGACGGATTTTCTGTACCTTTCTTTTAGAATGAAGACCATTCTCAGTAACCAGACAGTGGACATCCCCCACAACGGTATGCCAAAAATCACATATCACATCCTAAGCATTTAAAAACATTTTCTCCTTATCCATGTCTTCACTTTTATTACATTTTGGCTATTTGCTTGCAGTTGAGGTGTCCCTCAAGGGCCGCACAGTTGTTGTGAAGGGACCCCGTGGAGTTCTCCGCAGGGAGTTCAACCACATTAACCTGGAGCTCAGTCTTTTGGGCAAGAAAAATAAGAAGGTTTGCAGTCTTGATACATGGAAATTAACTGCAGAATAGCCCTTGTTATATTTATATTCACCCAAATATTGGTTAATGGCTTAATCAGACTGAAAATCGTTCGTGTAAACACCTCAATTGATCCGATTGGGCTAGATAAAAATAAAATCGATTGGAAGGAAGCAGAGACAAACCTGAAATCAGATCATCAGGCAAAAAAAATAGTGCAAATGCTTGAGTCTGAAAAAAAAAATGCATTGAGATGCTTATGTTTTGCAACAATTTGTTTCAGCTGCGCGTGGACAAGTGGTGGGGTAACAGGAAGGAGTTGGCCACAGTCCGCACCATCTGCAGTCATGTCCAGAACATGATCAAGGGGGTCACCCTGGTAAGTAAAATCAATTTTGGTACATTTGTTATCACACAAGAAGATCCTAACTGTGTAAAACCACTTTTAAAAAACTGTATTAGTGTCCTTAATTTCTTTGCCGTGTTATTGAAGAGGAAAAGATATGAACTGTTGTGTGATGCATGTTAATTGTTTTTCTCTAGGGCTTCAGATACAAGATGCGATCTGTATATGCCCATTTCCCCATTAATGTGGTGATTCAGGAGAGCGGCGCTCTGGTGGAGATCAGAAACTTCTTGGGAGAGAAGTACATCCGCCGTGTCCGCATGAGGTCAGGTATGTGTTATAGGTTTTTTTTATTTTATTTTTTTGTCTGATTTCACATACTTTGTCACCATAAAGCACATAATCCTACTTTATACATTCCTGGTTGCACTGATGCAGAATTTTTTTGTGTGTGTGTGTAGGTGTGTCATGCGCAGTGTCTGCTGCTCAAAAAGACGAACTGGTTCTGGAGGGTAATGACATTGAGCTGGTGTCAAATTCAGGTAAGCATCTCTAAGATGTACATTGTCATCCTTTGACGAGAGATACATGCAACTTGACCTCATAAGCATAATTTAAAACTATATAAGGGCCTTTTTGCAGATGAAAGGGTCTATGAATTGTTTGTATTAGGAACGTTTACATGGACACTTTTTGCTTCCATTCTTCATCCTGATTGACGAATTTGAACGTAGTGTTTACATGAACGCTAAATAAAGTGATCGGGTTGATATGCGTGTTTATATGTCACGAGCTTCTGATCGGATTTACTCTTTTGATATGGGCACACTGCATGAATATACAGTTTCCCGCTGTTGTCGCATACTGTTTTAAAAAGCACACGTGATATTTATGTACTTCGTGTCCTAATTAGGCGACGACCTGCTTACTTTATAAAGCAGTAAAAGTGCCCCTTCCCGCACCCAAAACCAGTCATCTGTGGATGAGTCTTAAACAAGGACTGATGGGACGTTGTGCTGCTCCACTTCACAGACGCTGAGTGAAAGGGGAGTTTTATAGTGATGGGACACTCATTTATGACACTTTATTCACCAGGAAGAACAGCTCGTTCCGCTTGTCATACGTCATTACGCTATTTTTACGTCACTGCACATGCGCAGTACTTTCCAGTTTCGATTTTCAATCCCATCAAGTGTTTACATGTCCTCTCGCTCGGATTACAAAAGGAGTAAACCACTCCTTACAATCCGATCGAAATCTGAATCGGATCTAGCAAATTCAATCCGATTGACGTGGTTACATGTGACTTTTTTTATTCTGATTGTGCTTCTAGTCCTATTACGATCGGATTAGTAGGGTCCATGTAAACGCAGCTATTGTTAATTTGAATTACAATTGTGCTTGTGCCAAGCAAGTTAAGACAATTTGGATTTAGAGGTTCTTCAATTGCTGTTTTAGTTAATCCCAGTATTATGCACGAACATCTTGTTTTGTGATTTTATTTTGAATTATCAAAAGTGACTCATCCAACTTTGTTTTCTGAAAATAGTCATTTGTTTGTCCTAAAATTGATTTGAAATGCCATTCTTTTACTGGACTGGTTGTGGAAACCCTTAAATCTTAAGCCTAAACCGTACCCTCCCTCACCTTGTCTGTGTTGATTTGCTATTACCTGCAGGTCCTGATGAGTTTAGACTATTTTGCAAAAGACATTTTTAGCCTCCTTTCGAACGCGGCGAGAGAACAAAACAAAACACCGGTCATGAATTAGAAGCACAAACCGAGGATTTGTAAAGAAAAATGTCAGAGCGTTTCGATATAAGCCAAGAAGAGACTGGTTTTCTTTTGCTAATGTAAGGAAACTTTGCTGCTTTTGCTCCTGTAAACAAACTTGTGAGACTAGCATATCTCAGAGGCACGCGCGCTGTGCATACGCCCTGCGTCATCCGCCGGAACAGCTTCCGCGTACGACAGTCAGCCGAAGTGAGAGAATAGTGTTTAAAACGTTTGAAATATGGATTTTTCTTACAACAATGCATGGAATCGCTACAGGAGGCCTTTATTCACGACCCC